CTGAGGATCCCCCTCTTTTGAATAAACCCTCCCCCTCCCCCTCCCCCGCCCTCGCAGGTCTTACTTTCCTTTTACGGTGTGGATGTGCGGGCGGATGGCAGCTCGGGGTCACACCCGGGTGCTGACCTGGCGCTGGAGGGCGCGGAGGTGGCCAAGAAAGTGCTGGTGAGCACGTGGAGAGCATGGGGAGGGGGGAAAAGGGGGAGAGGGGGGAGGGGGGAGAGGGGGGAGGGAGGAAAGAAAGAAAAGGGTGTGTGTGTGGGGGGGGGAGGAGGTGGAAAGGAGGGAAGGGGGAAAAGGTGGAGAGGGGGCCGTCTCTTCGCAGCTAGCAGTGCGGGTCTTTCACGCCGTGTGGGAAGTGCACATTAAGTTTGCGTGTCGTGTTTTTTTCTTCGGGGGACCGCCCAGGATGTGAAACGGCTTCCCCCCTGTTCCCCCTTCCCCCTCCCCCTTCCTCTCTGTCCCCCTACCCCCTCCCCCGTCCCCCTGTGACTCCCCCGCTCCCCCGCCTCAAGGTGAGCGTGCCCACCTGGTCGCGGGCGACTAGGGTTAAGCCCGAGGCCAAACTCACCTCCGTACACATACCCCTGAGAGCTACAGAGAGCTCTCTGGAGCCCATGACGGCGGCAAGGTAAGTGTGACAATGCGTGTATGTGTGTATGTATGTATACATGTATGTATGTATGTATGTATGTATGTATGTATGTATGTATGTATGTATGTGAGGGTGGAGGGAGGACCCGTTGAAAAGGGGATAGGAGGGGGCGTTGCATGATTTTTCAGCCAAGGAAATAACAGTCCCTGGTGGGGGGGGGCCGTCCAGGGCATCTGAAGGGGGAGGGGGAGTGACGACGCGGCAAAAAAGTATGTGTGTTTGGGGGTGGAGGGGAGAGAGTAATCCTGCGCGCGTGTGTGTGTGTGTGTGTGTGTACGAACACAGGAGCTAAACCCAGAAGATGTGGGGGAGAGGAGGGGGAGGAGGAGGGGGCTTCAAAAAGCGATGGTCATGGGTCTTGGGGTTGCGTGGGCTGGGTTAGAGAGCTGGGAGAGCGATTGTCTGTAGGTTTGTCGGACTGGTTAGCCGGCTGTGTGATTACATGTCTACGTCTGTTCAGATGTGTGTATGTGTTTGCGTTTCCGCGGCAAACCGATGCATTGACTTGTGCTGTTTGTGTCTCCATACAGCCGTACGTACTTGCCGTACCTGCCCGTACCTGCCCATATCGTACCGCAGGGACGCGCTGACGGACGGGCGGGTCGTGTACAGGCTGCTGCTGACGTACAAGACAACGGTTTCGGAGCCCGGCAAGTATAAGCCCTGTCTGCCTCTCATTAACAAGTGAGAGAGCTCTGGGGTTGCAGCGTGTTGGTTAGTGTTGGTTGGGGGTTGGGGGTTGGGGGTTGGAGGGAGGGGGGAGGGGGGAGGGAAGATACACAGGGGAGGCAATACACACCTTTCAATGAGGGTTTTGCTTTACCCGCCTAACTATCCATGCTACGTACGACCCCCAACCCCAACCCCAACCCCGGAAGGCATAATATACACATACAGACATGCATACACACATACGCACGACCAACCCCAACCCCAACCCCAACCCCGACAGGCAAATTTACGACTCCCCTTTGGAGTCCCAACTCCTGCTCGTCCATGATGGAACCACCAAACAGCTGCTTTCCGTCCAGGTGGGTGTACGACACGCGTCGTACAAGTGAAAGTGATGCTGCGTACGAGGTGCCAGACCAGCTATATGTGCGCGCTACTCCTCCTTTCTCCGGTAGAGAACCGCTCTTCCCCACTCCTCCTCACAGTCGAGCCGTGGGGATATAGCCGTGTAATGCTGTGCTGTGTTTAACCTTCTTAACCGTGTCGTCTGTTGGCCGTACCATTTCCTTGTTTTATACACATGGTGTCGTACCATGTCGTACCATGTTGTACAGGACGCCGATCCCGAGTCGGTGACCCTGAAGAAGGGCGAGGTGTTGATACGACTTGCGTTGCGTCACGACAGCCAGGAGCTTCTGGACAAGATGCGGGGTTTGCCGCTGGTGAGTTTACTCGGGGGACTGGTTTTACTGATTTTACTGAGATTGAGATTGAGATTGAGGACTGAAGACGGAAATATATCGCAGCTGCCGAGGAAGCAGCGCTGTCACTGCCGATGGAGTTTTTTTTGGGGGGGGTGACATATCATCATCATCATCCGCAATTTTAAACATCAAGGGCCAGTGTTGATTTGGGTTGTGGAGGCAAGCAAGCAAGCAAGCACCCCCGGCGTTTGCGGCATGATGATGGTGATGGTGGTGGTGGTGGTGGTGTTTTGAGGGACGGAGTAGCGGTGGCGGTGTGGTGTGTGTATGTGTGTATGTATGTGTGTATGTATGTATGTGTGTATGTATGTATGTGTGTATGTGTATGTATGTGTGTGTATGTGTGTGTATGTGTGGGTGTGGGTGTTGGAAGGGGAGGGAGGGTAATGAAAAGACAGGCGTATAGAGGTGGTTTGTAAGATGTGGGGGGTGGGGGGGAAAGCTGTGACGGCGGCTCTCGACAACACAAAAGACATACGACACGAAAACACAACCCAGCGTGTGTGTGTCTGTGTGTGTATGTGTGTATGTCTGTGTGCCCGGCCCGTGAAGGTCCTCAAGCGCAGCCTGGACGGCGGCGGCGTGGCGGTGCCTGTGTACGGCAGCCGCCGCGACGCCATCCTCGCCGCTGGCGGCTCCTCCTCCGCCGGCCCTGCTGGCGAGGTGCTGTTGCGGGCGGGTGACGTGGCACCCTTGTGGCTCGGACCCGCGCCCGAGGACAAACTGCCCAAGGACGCAACACCAGGTACGACAGAATATGTTATGATGTACTAAACCCCTAGACATATATATGTGTATAGATGTATAGGGTTTTAAGTATATTGTTATTAGTACATATATATAAACATATAGTATTAATATCATCTAATGCAAGGTATATAGATACATGTACATTAGTGTAGATTACATATAGATGAAGAACATGATCCAGACGTCCGATAGCACCTGATAGGGGGTGTTTCGGAATCATGATGCGGATGACGTGTCCCGGGGGCGGTGAGTGAGGCCTCCTCGTGTAACCTCCTCTACAACCTCCAAAAGACCTCCGCATCCGCACCCCCCTCTCCCCGCCAACCCACCGGCTCACTCACCCCCCGAACCTTGTGTCCCCAAACCCTTTCCAAACCCTTCCCCGCTTCCAACCCACTGGCGCTTCCAACCCCCGCGGCCCCGACCGCCCCCGCTCGTGGTTCGTCTTCCCCGCCCCCGGGCCCGCCCCCCCCCTTAGGCCGTCTGCTGACCGGCCACCTGACGCTGGGACAGCTGAAGCGCGGCGGCGGCGGCGCCGCGCCACACAAGTTCACGGTGTCTTACCTGGTGCCGCCGGCGGCGGCAGCGCCCGGCGGCGGCGGCAACGGCAACGGCAACGGCGGCAAGGATGGAGACGCAGGTACGTACGTCACATCTGGTGTACATGTATCTATCTGCTATAGCGGGGGGTTTCTCCTTCAGGTGCTCCCGCCGGGTGCTTTTCATCGACATCGACATCGACATCGACATCGACCCGTCGTGTTTCGTGTCTCGTGTCTGACTCCTACAGGGTTCCGCATCTCCCGCTTTAATAAGACCCCTCGTTCCCCTCCTCCTCCTCCTCCTCCTCCTCTCCAGTCCAGTCCAGGAGGACTATCCTTGACGTTGGCACCAGCTTCATCATTCGTTCGTGTGGTTCGTCCGTTCCCCTGCCGTTCCCCTGCTCCTCCCCCCCCCTGACCGCAGATAAGTCCCCGGCGGACAAGCTGAGTGAGGCGGTGCGCGATGCCAAGATCAAGTTCATGAAGGTGAGGAAGAACACCACTCGGGTCGGTTGACCCACTCGGGTCGCCGCGCCTAGAACCCCGCTGTCCCCCACGTTGCGGCCCCCCGTTGTGCAATCCCCCCTGTGTTGGTCGGTTGCTACTGTGAGATGTGACCCGCGGGTGGGGTTTGGGGGGGTTGTGGGGAGAAGAGTCGGTCCTGTGAGATGTGACCCACGGGTATGTGTGTATGTGCTCACTCCCGCTCACAAAACCCGCACACACGCAGGACCTCAAGCTGTCAGATCCTAACCAAGCCAATTTGTACGACAGCTTGTTTTCGGAGCTTCGTGAAACCCATCCGACCCACCTACCGCTGCTGTTGGAGCACCTGAGGAAGGTTGACGGCCGCGAGGTAGGGTTGCTGGGTGAGGGGGGTTCGCGAGGTGAGGGGGGCCCCCTGGGGGTGGCTTCTCTTGGGGGGGCTTCTCTTGGGGGGGAGGGGAGGGAAATGGGGGATTTGAAGTTTGGAGCTCTGAATTTTCGGGGGGGTAGCCAGAAAGCCATTTTGTGTGTGTGTGGGTGCGTGTGCGTGTGTGTGTGAGATATGGGAGGGGAGACGGTTGTTGTGGAAATGATGATGATGATGATGATGATGATGGTGATGATGATGATGATGGGGGCGGGGAGAGAGACCTAAGGGTTTTTAATGGCTGAGACTTAATGGAGGGAAGTGCGCTGCCGTCGCCTAAAACGCCTCTCCTTGCGTTACCTGTGCCAGCAACGAAACCAAAAGCACAACACGTTTATGGACAGACATGCAGACATGCAGACAGACAGACGGATGGGGAGGTAAGGTTGTTGTGGTGGCGGGCATACCCGCGGTTCGGACGGTTCCGGTTTGTTGCGGTGGGGTTGCTGCGAATGCGAACCCACGTACCTTGATGATGTGCATGTAACCATGTATGTATGTATGTATCCCGCG